TCAAATGCGTTTTCTTCATCTATTGAGATGATCAGATGGTTTTTGTTCTTCATTTTGTTTATGTGATGAATCACATCAATTCCTTATATTTAAAATTGGGTAGAGAAGGAAAGAGCTGAACATGTATCCTGCCTTTTCATTAGGACCCATGTTTGTGTGTAAGTGAACAGATTTAGTTAATGGCATCTACTTTATAGAAGGTGATCTAATAACTAGAAATAGGAAACCACCATTAAGCTACCCCATGGAATTATTAGTTTAGGTGGGAATAATGTCTTGGCTGAAATACTGTCCTATCTACCTCAGATGGATGGCTCATTCAGAGACTGAAAGGAAGAAGAGCTGCAATTCATCAGGAACACAGGAGAACAGTGATGATGTCCTGCTTTCTGCCAATGTACTAGCTAATGAATGTTTGTTAAATGCATGTCTGTAGGGAAGGCAGATTTTGACCTGCAACTTTCATAAGAGTTGTCAGGGAGTAGCTAATCCTCACGAACTTTTCTATGATTCCTGCTATATCCATTAAAAACAAAATAACAGCAAAATTCTGGGAGTCCCATGTGACCAGCCCTACTTAGGTCAGTTCTCAGCAGTTGCCTGAGGGAAGATCAGGACTGCAGTTTCTCACCATGGGTGGCTCTTCTCCACAGACATCTGCGGCCTCTGCCCTCTACACATTCCCTGGGGACACTGACCTGCCAGGGCTGCAGCCAGAGCCAGCTCGGTCTTTGCTGTCTAGACACAGTCTAGAGTGCACTTCTCTTGTAGACCTTAGAGCAGAAATGATTATTTTTGAGCCCATCTAGTGTCTTCTCAGTAATCTGATGCAATTTCAGAGTATCCTTAGGTGATACAACAATTTGTGCTTACTTTCTTGTTACTGCTTGTAAATTCTCTATACAAATTAATCTAGGAAAATGTCTGAAATCCAATCCAAAAATGTGAAAAAAAAAACAAGAGTAACTGAACCCAGTCTGAGGTTTGGAATGGCAGAAATTCACCATTGTTATGTGGAGAGTGGGAAGACACCTGACAAAACTGAGGCCTGTCACAGTAAGCCAAGTGCAGTCAGAGGAGGATTACGAAACTAGAGCCCGTTGATTGCTCCACCGCCCACCACGCAGGCCACTCTCCCTGCGCGTGCACCCTGCAGAGTCATGCTGCCCAGTGCAGGTCTCCCACTGTCTAGGTTGAGAATGTCTGCTTATGCAGGAAGTATTTCCCCATTGTCACCTCTGCCCCATGAAATTATTATAACAAAGAAAAGCACTGCCTTTGGAGCTGAAACCAACATGACACTTTACTGTTGACAACTGGTATGAACTTCATCTTGGAAGTTAGTCACGACTCAGTTGAGTCTCCTAACTTGCTTTATATTTTGTCATTTAAATGAAAACTATTTCGAGTTCCTCAGAGTTATTTTCAGAGAGAATATTATATGGCAGTTTAAATTCTGAATATATATTATGGGACTTTTAAAGTAATCAATTTCTGCATAAACCTAATCTTTGAGTTTTCACATTTTACTTATCACCCATGATTACTTTAAATGCCAACTCTCTTATGGTTAATGTATTTCCATTGCCAGCAGTGTTCTCCACTAACACACATCAAGATACTAAGGTGATGCCTTCTGAGATTATATTAAAAAGGCCAGATCAGATTTCCAGTCTTTAGGATTAAACATTATCATGCATACTGCTCTCATAGCACAAACCAAACATTTACCAAATGTGGCAGTGTATTTCACCTGTCTCTAGAGGACAAGCTCCGGAATTTCCCAGGATGAAAGAGCAGCAAGAGCTTGCCCAGGGCCTAGGAATTAATCTTGCCCGGGAAGTCTTTCACCTCCAAAGTCCAGAGAAAAACAATTTAAATAACGGGTCAGTTCCCTTTTGATAAGGCTATTGGTTATAAGATGAATTCCAAGGTGTTCTGCGTGTCCTTTTTGCTACATTGGATATGGCAAACTTGAAGCAACCAAGAACTATTAAAAACTCTTGTTCTGGGCTGGGTGCAGTGGCTCATGCCTATAATCCCAGCACTTTGGGAGTGCTGGGAGGCTGAGGCGGGCAGATAACAAGGTTAGGACTTTGAGAGCAGCCTGGCCAACATAGTGAAAACCTGTCTCTACTAAAAATACAAAAATTAGCTGTGTATGGTGGCACACGCCTGTAATTCCAGCTACTCAGGAGGCTGAGGCATGAGAATTGCTTGAACCTGGGAGGTGGAGGTTTCAGTGAGCCAAAATGGTGCCACTGCACTCCAGCCTGGGCGACAGAGCAAGACTCTGTCCCCCCCAAAAAAACAACCAGAAAACAACCCAAAAACTCTTGTTCTGGAATATAGTTTATCATGACTGGTCTCAATGCTATGTGAAATTAGGAATCAAATTCTGACAGCAGAAAAAAAGTCTCACATGGTTTCCTACTGCTTCTAATAATGTGCCTTGCATTCTTACCTTCATCTTTGCAAGTGCTCAGGGCTCTGTGCAGAAAGAGGAAGTGTGACAGTTAAAAGCTTCCTGTGACCTCTAAGCGAGCCAGGTGCTAGTCAGTCCTTCCCTTGGTGGGTCCCTCGTCACTCCTACTCGGGCCCTGTCAGTAGCTGTGGCTCCCTCAGGTCCCTCTGAGGCAAACAGATTCCACGCCACTCCTGCATCTGCGTCTGCTTTGACTGCACGTGCTCTCACAGGATTCCCTCAGCTCGGATGCAGCTTTTGGCCAGCAGCAATGACCTTACTGGCTTCTGTCTCTCCATATTCTCTCCTCAGGAGTACCAGAAAAGTCCACTGAGTCAAACCATTGCCAGCCAGATACGGTGGCTCACGCCTGTAATCCCAGCACTTTGGGAGGCCTGAAGTGGGCAGATCACGAGGTCAGGAGTTTGAGACCAGCCTGTCCTATATGGTAAAACCCCATTTCTACTAAAAATTACAAAAATTAGCCAGGCATGGTGGCACACACCTGTAGTCCCAGCTACTTGGGAGGCTGAGGCAGGAGAATAGCTTGAACCCAGGTGGTGGAGGTTGCAGTGAGCCGAGATAGTGCCTCTGTACTCCAGCCTGGGTGACAGAGACTCTGTCAAAAAAACAAACAAAAAAACAAAGTTGCCTTGGTTTTTATCAGGGCTTATTCCTGTTCAAATCCCCTGCAGTATCTGCTCCTGGACCCTGGTACTCTGCAGGCTTCCACCTGGGCTGACCTGCAAGGACATGCCTTCAGGGAGCTGGCAAGTCTCTGAAATGGAGGTGTGGAAAACCCCCTTCCTCCTTACTTGGCACTAATGGCTAGCAGGTTGGGAGTTTTTCCAAGGTGATGAAAGAGAAAGATCCCAAACCAAAAAGCCTTGACTGTGGCTGACTCTACAGGGCTAGCCCCAGGGTGGAGGAGACCTTTGGGGGCTTCAGCTGCTGCGCTCTATGCTGTCTCTGTTGAGTTAGAGTTTCTCACAAGTATTATTACTTGTATGATAAAATAGAACAGGTGGTTTTAACTTAGCCAATCAGTGACTCTTTGTGCCAGTTTTTTTCACCACGCTCAGCTGTAACTGAGGTAACTGTGGAAGCTGAGCCTGAAGAGTTGTGGCGTGGCAGGGTTCCTGCAGAGTCTGCCCTGCTGTGGTCTCAGCTGCAGTGTAGCAGGAGCAGAGTCCCCAGACTGGTGTTTGCGCTGGCCCTGCCAAATACTGGTGTCTTACAGCTTCCCAACCTGTTCCCTCCTCTATATCAATGCCCAGCTTGCTCCACATGCTGTGTGAGGCCCAAAAGAGAAGACGTATGACAATGCTTTGTGAACTGTATAGCACCTTAAAAAGAAAATAAACGTGACAGAATATGAGACCAGGCTCAGTGGCTCACACCTGTAATCCCAGCACTTTGAGAGGCCAAGGCAGGCAGATCACTTGAGGCAAGGAGTTTAAGACCATCCTGGCCAACATGGGGAAACCCCATCTCTACTAAAAATACAAAAATTGCCAGGCACGGTGGCTCACACCTGTAATCCCAGCACTTTGGGAGTCCGAGGCGGGCGGATCACAAGGTTAGGAGATTGAGACCATCCTGGCCAATGTGGTGAAACCCTGTCTCTATTAAAATACAAAACAGCCAGGTGTGGTGACACACGCCTGTAGTCCCAGCTACTTGGGAGGCTGAGGCAGGGGAATCCCCTGAACCCACGAGGCAGAGGTTGTAGTGAGCTGAGATTGAGCCACTGCCCTCCAGCCTGGCAAGAGCAAGGCTCCGTCTAAAAAAAAGAAATACAAAAATTAGCCGGACGTGGTGGCGCACACCTGTAATCCCAGCCACTTGGGAGGCTGAGGCAGGAGAATCACCTGAACCCAGAAGGTGGAGGTTGTAGTGAGCTGTGATTGCGCCACTGCACTCCAACCTGGGCCACAGAGTTAAACCCTGTCTCAAAAAAACAAAAACAAACCCCAAAAGTGACAGAATGTAGACTCCTGAGGGAGACTGTGCCTCACGGACCTCCCCTCTGCTCAGCGTGGGCTGCTCTGCTGCTCTCATCGGCTACAATACAGAGAAGGAAACTATTCAGATTCAAGTTGGATTTTTTTTTTAGACAAGTCTTCCTCTTGTCCCCCAGGCTGGAGCGCAGTGGTGCAATCTCGGCTCACTGCAACCTCCACCTCTTGGGTTCAAGCCCTTCTCCTGCCTAAGCCTCCCAAGGACCTGGGATTACAGGCACCTGCCACCACACCTGGCTAATTTTTGCACTTTTAGTAGAGATGGGGCTTCAGCATGTTGGCCAGGCTGGTCTCGAACTCCTGACTGCAAGTGATCTGCCTGCCTTGGCCTCACAAAGTGCTGCGATTAGATGTGTGAGCCAACGCACTCGGCTGCATTTTTTTAGAAAGCTAACTTAACTGCATAATCTGAAATAAGTCAGGACTGTGCTCTTAGGATGCTTTCAGTCATTCGGTCAGACCTCTGGAGCAGCTCCTAGTTAACAGCTTCATCCCTCCCTTGGAAGTTGGTTCCTTCAACTGAGCACCAGTGCCGCGCTGGGCCCCATGATCAGCCCATTCCTGTGGGACTGCAATCTCAACAGCTTTCTGTGGAAAGCAGCACAATTCTTAGATCACCACAGAAATCGCCTCTGCAACATTTTACAGATAGGGAAAGAGAAGCCCAGAACACTCACATGACTGGCCTGAGTCTCAGTGACTGAGGGGCGTTTCTATTAGTAACACTTGCCCGTAAGAATAGGTTCTGCATAGTTGGACTGTCGATGCTTTCCAGAAAACACTGGCCTTCCAGCTCTGCATTTCCTCCAGCCATCTTCATAGTTTTCAAGGAGTTCCATTTTCACCTATAATTGTCTTTTCAGATACATTGTTCTTCAGTTTCCTAGGGAACGCAGCAAGATATTTAATCATGCTCATTTAACAAATATTTAAATCTTTTATTGCCTTAAGTTACAGCATCTCAATATACACACTGCATGGAAATACACAGATAACATTTTTAAACAGTGGGGAAGAGATTTTAGGTATGTGGCCAGCTGTTGGTTGTCTTGTGGTCATTAAAGACAATGTCAAGAAGTAGGAGTACTTAAGTACTAGTAGTTACAAATTTTGTTCTCTTCAGTTTTTCATTAAGTAAATTCTAATAGATAATAATATACATGTTACTGCAGATAAAACCATCATCAGAAATTATTAAATTGCATATTTTGAGCTACTCTTTATGGAAAGAAGTAAAATATTTAGTACTTGTAAGGCAGCAGAGAGTTGGTTAAGAGACTCTCAGCTATTTCTATAAAAATAGAATGGCTAGTAAAAATAGCATTCAGCATATTTTCCTTAGTGAGGCTATTTATAATGAAATCTGTGACTCAGCAGCAGCTGGCAATGCTGTCCCTTCAAGAGTTTGCTCTTCATTTTCCGTTGTTATGCAGATGCCTTTTTACTCATC